TGAAGTGGTTAATAATGTATTAGTGCAGCAGGGCAGTCATTTGTGCCTTCTATATCTGCCTGAAGTTCAGCTTTTAGCATGATTGATACTGTACTTATAATGTCAGGAACAAAGGGAGAATCTAACTTGTACCATAGCTGAAACCAATCAACAGTGACAGTGGCAGCGTTTTGTATTGTAAGCTCCAGGCAAGCAGCTACACACATGGTTGAAATACGTGCACGCCTATTGATTTGTGATCTTGGCCCGCTCTTATTGGGAATCAAACCTTCACTAAGTCTGTAGGATCATTCTGCTGCTTTGTGCTTTTCCAGGGTCAGCTCCCTACTCACTGTGCAGGATGTGATAATGCTGATACACTGTTCACTGAGGAGGCTGGAGGCAGATAGGTGACATAGCAAGCTGCATTGCTAACCAAATAGATCAATTCCTCAATTAGGGACATTGTATGTGTAATGCTGGCCAATACGGTTTGTCTTAAAGGAGAACTATGAGGTGAGTGCTTTTCACTCACCTCATAGTTCTAGCCGACCTGTGACAATGAGACTGTCACAGGTCGGCTCAGTAGATCGGGAGGTGAGCGAACATATACCGGCGTTCGCTCACCTCTCGATCCTGTCACGGCTCTCTGCAGTATTTCTGTCCATTCATTTCTACGTTTGGGGGCCTCTTCCCACCTTAGCATTGCATTAAATGCACTATACTGTGGGGGTAATTTATCAAAACTAAAGCAGACAGAATCTGGAGCAGCTGTGCACAGTAAGTAGTCAGCGTCTCTTTTCAGTCTGTTCAGTTAAGATTTGAAATTAAAAGAGAGAAGCTGATTGGTTGCCAGGCACAGCTGCTCCAGTATTGATAAATTTCCCTCTGTTTTTAGCGCATGCTATCACACAGCACCTAGCGTGCGTTACCATATAATAGGTGCATAGCATTGCCATTCATTTAAATGACATCCTAGTGCACCTTTCAGAGGTGATTTACTAACCTAAACACACGCACGCACCAGGTGCGTGTGATTTTCACACAGCAAAACGTATTTATCAACCAAAAAGTCTCTAAAAGCATATTTCCACTAATGCCATATATGTAAAAATCATGCACATGATGCATATATAATGCTGCTTCACAGTTTAGACAAAAATGGTTAGCTCATGCATTTACATTCCTGCATTCATCAACGCAAGCAACACAACATAGAGCTAATTTACACAACATCACCTTGCAATTCATGCAGGGCTTTGCACAATACACCTGCTGGGTGTGTACACACTACAAAGGTGTCTAGATTCCACCAATAGATCATGCTGGGAGGGAGCACACTGCAGAGGTGTATACATGTTCGTTGTGTGTTTATAAGGTTAGTAAATCAACCCCCATGTGTTGCAGTGCAACGCTGGTACAGAAGTACCATGCATCGCGGTGCAAATAATTTGTGCATGCACTACTTTTCTCATCACACCCCAAAGCATCACACTGTATTGCTGTACTGCGCTCTGCATCGCATGGCCCCGGGAGGCGTATTGGGGTGCCATTTGAATGAATGGCAGTGCACCTAGCACATGGTACCACACACTAGCTTTGTGCTAAATGAATGGTATTGTGGTATGGTGTGTATGGGCCTTTGCACAGTTCAGACACACAGCACAGGCCTTCATGGCAGCAGAGGGGGACCTGACCTTTTCTTGCTGCAGTTTCACTTCAATGCCTTCTCCCTACCATCACCGATGAGCTCCTTCCGTCATTCTCTCCTTCAGTCAGTATGATCCTTGCCCAGCCTGCAGCACACCTGATTGGATCCTTGTGCTGCTTATCGTCTCTGCTGTACAGTAGACTTCAGGAGGCTAGTACCAAGCCAAAGTCAGGGACTCGCACTGCTTTCCTTTAAAGAGAAAATACATGTAACCCTTTATTGAGGCTTAGATGCGAAGACCAAATTCTGTTAACTTGACAATAGCTCTATGGCTGTTTAAGCTGTTTGACAGCACACACAGTTGCACATTCCTAATTCTCTGCTGCAAGGTCAAGTTCACTTTCATGGCAAGGGGCATCTTACATTGGCAGCTAAAAAAAAAGTGTTTTGTGGTCATGAAGTGGTTAATAATGTATTAGTGCAGCAGGGCAGTCATTTGTGCCTTCTATATCTGCCTGAAGTTCAGCTTTTAGCATGATTGATACTGTACTTATAATGTCAGGAACAAAGGGAGAATCTAACTTGTACCATAGCTGAAACCAATCAACAGTGACAGTGGCAGCGTTTTGTATTGTAAGCTCCAGGCAAGCAGCTACACACATGGTTGAAATACGTGCACGCCTATTGATTTGTGATCTTGGCCAGCTCTTATTGGGAATCAAACCTTCACTAAGTCTGTAGGATCATTCTGCTGCTTTGTGCTTTTCCAGGGTCAGCTCCCTACTCACTGTGCAGGATGTGATAATGCTGATACACTGTTCACTGAGGAGGCTGGAGGCAGATAGGTGACATAGCAAGCTGCATTGCTAACCAAATAGATCAATTCCTCAATTAGGGACATTGTATGTGTAATGCTGGCCAATACGGTTTGTCTTAAAGGAGAACTATGAGGTGAGTGCTTTTCACTCACCTCATAGTTCTAGCCGACCTGTGACAATGAGACTGTCACAGGTCGGCTCAGTAGATCGGGAGGTGAGCGAACATATACCGGCGTTCGCTCACCTCTCGATCCTGTCACGGCTCTCTGCCGTGACAGGGGAGGGGCTGGATTCCCCTCTCCCCGCTCCGATCTGCCAGCGCTGACTGGCGGAACGGACGGGGGAGGGGGCGGGTACAGCTGGTTCTGCCTCTAGATAGGCAGAGCCAGCTGTCACTCACGCAGCTGGGCGGATCTCGACATCGATGTCGGGACCCGCTCAGGCTGCGGCTTCTCAGTATACCGCGAGCTGTAGCTGGCGGTATACTGAGCTTAGGGTAACGGGAGGACACTAGTTTGTGTCCTCCCGTTACCCTAAGGAGAACTATGGGGAAAAGCCCTAACCCCATAGTTCTCCTTTAAAGTCATGATCAATAAAAACAGTTGTTAAGCTACTTCAAATTCTGATTAAATCACTTACAGTGGATGCTGCTCCTTGTTGTTTAAAAGTTTGTTTTTCTGCAGAATCAGCTGGTCTACTAAGCACTGGTCCTGATATCCTGTTTTAGGTTGGCTCCTTCCCCTTGCAGGGTCCTATGGAGCCACCCTTGTGTGTGCTAGTAAGCTATGTGTGTCTCCACAAACACACAGACAGAGCAGAGGAATCTAATCATCAGTTCCCAGCGTTTCCCTTACTGAAGTTAGTAAATGGACAGCTGCTGTAGAATAGGTAAAAAACCGGCACTCGCCCAAGGGACCCATCCATCCAATATTTGCTAAAAGACATAAAAGCAGCAAACAAACAAATGCTTACATGTTTCAGCCCCCCAACTGGGCCTTAGTCGTAGTACAGAGAACAAATGTCGATCTTGTAAGAAGTGCAGTGTATTTGTCACGTCATGCGAGATGAACTGAAAGAAAAAACAATGCCATCTTCCTTCTGTAAATGACTGATCTCCTCATCCCACATGTAATGGAGAGCAACAAAGGTCGACGTTTCTGAAGTTCAACCTGTGTGACAACGATTGCTCCTCCATAGATACAGTGGAAAGTGTAGCCCCCCTCACACAGGAAGTGTGTTATTCATAGGTGCTATGTCACCAGGTGAAAGTAAAGGAAAACAAAAAGCCTAAGAAATGAAAGCTAATGCAGCCACCACATCTAAGGACTAGTAAGCTGAAATGTATTAGGTTTGTTTTTGGGTTTAGATTTACTTTAATCTGGTGCAAATTACACTTACAGGGAAAAACAATAGAGGAATACAAATATACATACATGTGCACATGCCACCATCTATCCTGACTTTAGTAAATACTCACAGACAATAGTCTATATGCAGACCTAATTGGAATGCACTGAGATAATTAGCTTCCATTGGTCCGGGGCCAAGATTTTCCTTAGCAAACACATTGATTAAAGGTGCCCATACACTGTGCGATTATCGCACGATAATCGCGGGAAATCCCGCGATCGTACGATAATAATGGCAAAGTGTATGGCAGGCGTGCAACCGTTTTTACTGTATGGTCGTACGTCTTTTGTCTAAGGAGCATGTTCGAAAACCAGCCAAAAATCTTACGATTTGCGGCTGGTTTGTGGCATGCTCGGGAGACAAATGCCGAACGGGCCGGTGTGCACACGCGCACACTGCCCGTTCAGCATTGCGGTCATCGCAAGTACGATCTGCCTGTCCAAGATGGACACATCGTACGTTTTTTTAGTCCCCCGCAAGCACATGCATTTTCACGTAAACACGTGTCGGGTGCACCTACGTACGAAAACGACGATCACGCTACACATGTTGGGTATCCCCACGCATACCAGAGTGAGAGCAATCTAGGGCCAATGTTTCCACATATCTCTAAATTGGTGACCTCTAGGGGCTTTTAAAGAGTCGTCTATGGACTTTTTGGGATAGTGAATTTTTCAAGAATGCACACAATTTTTAACATGGGCGTGTTGGGTATCTATTTACTTCCTGTAACCTGTTTTTATATTCTATGTAAAGAAAAAAAAAAGGGTTTTATATTGTTTTGGGGCACTAAATTTAACTTTTCACTAAATTTGTGGGTTTGAGAATAGGTTGCATAGGTCATGCAAAAATTTGCAACTGTCACCATTATTTGACAGGGTCTTGGCTTTCGGAAGTAATTTTCTGGCCTAAAATGTGGATTATAACATAAAACAAAGGCCTTGGTCCTTAAGGGGTTAAGCCTTTTTCAACCGACTTTGGTAAACAAGGTTTGAAATAGGGACAAGATAAACAAAGTTCCTTTTCTTTTAACATGTACTAGATAGTGTGCAGTGTTTGAGTCCTAACAACCCAGAATCATTTTCGGGACTTCTGATTTTGTATCAAACTTAAAGCAATCTGCCATTCTATTGTGTGCATAGGTTGAAGTGCTAAAACCACATCAGAATAAGATGAAGGATGGAGAAGACCACAGCATACAGCCGAAAAGCTTGAACTTGCCAAAACCACGTCAGTTACAGAAAACACCGAAGGTAGATTGCGTTCACACAATAAGTGTGGTGGGTTCAACGTGATATTAAAGTTACAATGTTTTAATCTATTTCAAATGCTGATTCAATCACTTACAATAATTGTTGCTCCTTGATGTTTAAGTTTCATTTCCTGTAGAATCAACGGGCCCCGATACGTTGCCCGTTTTAGGGTGGCTCCTTTCACTTGCAGAGTCCTATAGAGCCACTCTTGTGTGTGCTAGTAAGCTGTTTTTGTCTTTACAAGCAGAGCAATGCAAGCCACTCCCCTCCCCCCTGCTCCCCACTCCTTCCTTTTCCAAGCTAGTAGCTGGAGTCTGCTCTGTCCCTTGTCATCTTGTACTGGACAGGAAGTTCAGGGAAGCGGAGTTGAGATAATTGGAGCCCAAAAAAAAAAGATTGCGAGATTAAAGTCTGAATTTTTGTTTGCATTTATCTACTGCTAGCAAGTAGTAGATGCCACTACATAAAAAAAAGTGCCCAAATATGAAATACTTACCTCTGTCTGCACAGCTCGCTCCCGGCTGCAGTACACAGATCCGAATGGCTGTGCAGGAGGATGATGTGGGCATGTGCAGTCCATGTCACCGGCGGGGAGAGGAGGAGAGACATTGTGTCAGTGAAGGCACGCAGCCGGGAGCAAGCACGCCGGATAGACACCGTGGGACACAGAAGACAGAGAAGTCTGCCCTGGATCAGAGACTGACACCAATATTGGAGGGACTGCTGGAAACGGGTGGCAGGAAGAATATGATCGCAGCACATACGGCAAGTATTAAAAGCAGAGTTACAATGGGGGTGGGGGGACACATGACTTTAATACTATGTTAATCATGGCACTGGCTTGTTCTGTCCTTTGTCGTTCAGACAACAAGATCTCTGCACCCGAGTTTCCAGCGTTGCCTGTTTTGCCAATAAAAAAGATATTTTCCTTTTTGGAACATTTCATTTTTTCACATTATTGCAAGCCTGATACTTTGTCCCGTACGCTGGGAAGAATGACTGGAGCAAATGGAGCTGGGAACTCTTAAATAGGAGGAGATCTGTGGTACGAGTTTCTGCTGCTTTAGGGCTCATTCACACTATGTGCGGAGACTGGCATTTTTCCACCTCCATCAATGCCAGCCACCGCAAGGGCACATGGAAAAATAACATTTCTATGTGCCCCATTCACACTACAGTGCTGGTGTAGAGGTGCAATGTGAGGCGTGGAAACATGCAGACACCCTGGACGGCACTAAATTGCTATACAATAACAATTTAAACCGTGCATCACATTGCTCCCTCACTGACCAACAAAACTGGCAACCACCCTAACACAAAAAAGTTTTTTTTGTATGCATTATCTACTGTTTGCTAGCAATAGATATAGGCAAAAAAAAACGGAGGGTTTAGAACCCCTTTAACGTGGCTTGACATTTAATGAAACAAAAAAATCCTGCTTTGTCACTGTATTATGGCATGTCAGGAATTTATACATGCAAAGTTACTGACAGGTCCACTTTAGAAAGGTTTTAAACCTTTTGTTTTTTTGATACTCTTATGCACAGTCCATAGGCAGGAGAAGTGGAGTTTAAACCATATAAAATGCCAGTTCCTAATGCAGGATATATTTGTTCACAATGTCTAAGGGACCCGTTCACACTGCCCACATATTAAAATGCTGTTTTGCATATAACAGCGGTTTAAACTTTTCCCTGTTTTTCGTTGCGCGCTCCCGTCCGAGAATCCGAAACTGCTCGGGCGGCTGCAAAGCATCTTGGGGCGGGCGCATGTGCAGTTCGGATTCTCGGGCGGGAGACGAGCAGAGATGCAAGGTAAGTCTATGGACGCGTGCACTCGCATGCAGGCACCGCTGGATCGGAAGTGCCTGCAAGCAGAGAGGAGTCAGCGTTGGATCATTTAAGGTAAGTGCTGACATTAACATTGGGGGAGGGGAAAACATTTTTGACTTTATTGTCACTTTAACTGTGCAAGGACATGTTGAGGCTGAGTTACTAAAGGAGTTGAGAAAGTTAGTCATTGGGCTGCCTATCATATCTATAGGAAGCCCAATGACTGACTGAATAAGTACACACCACAGGTTGATAACACTGCTGTTGTGTGAATATTCACTAAAATGACTTATTTCATCTGCATGCGATGGTGGATAAACAGGGATTGCTTTTTCACGTGATTTTATTTTCAGTTTGTCTGGTGTCATGCCTCACTGTATACAGTTTTCTTAATCAAAAAAAATAAAATAGTTTTTGTGAATCTGTTGCATGGTTTCTTACCCAGAGATCCTACCAGTAACAGCACTTTCTGTTGCAGCCTGACAGCGCTGAGCCACATTCTAGCAATTAGCAGCAGTATTTGTCAGACCACCAAGTATACACCCATCAGTTGCTCATTGAGCGGCCTACAGCTTTGATAGATAGCCCCATGGCCAACTGAATAAGTACACACCACTGCTGTTAATCGTGAGGCGCAGTGGCTGAGCATTGTAAGTCTACAAACAGGAAATGCTCTTACTGGCAGGATCTACAGGTAAGAGACTTTGCAACAGATTCAGGAAAAAAATGATGTGCCTAGGAAAATGTTATACAATTAGGCATGATGCATCACTGCTTTATGTTTACCTACTGGGAAAGCATTTCCTTATAAAGTTTTTTTCAGCAGGTTAAGAAAACAAATGCAGTAGACTTGGTCAACGGCCAGGATGAACATCAGACACATTTTGTTGGCAATGACAACAATGGAAAATCTAGTAAAGTGCAAAGAACAAGTCCAATGGATTTGCAAGCAGAAATTGTTGGTATTGATAAACCAAAGGTAAGGCTAACTAAGCAAAGCTACATACAGTTTATTCACTTGTGCTGCACAATGTTTTCTGATAAATTGGGAAATTCTATTTACAGCTAGTGAGCACACCCCCCTCCCCCCAATACATTTTTGGACGTTTCCTGGATTTTGGAGTTGTGTATTTGACAAATTCTAGACTGAAATGACAGGAGGAGATACGGAACTTCTCTCAGACCTGCAATTTCTGTTTTATACCTAACACAGAAGTCAATCAGGTTTAAGGAGTGCATCATTAATCTTTCAAACAGCCTTATGTTCCACAAAAAATTTCTTCTGCATCACTTCCTGGCTGTGTTCACAGTGGAGTACAGTAGCCCAACAGGAGATGGTCAACTGACTACTTTTTGAGACAGGAAGTAGATTGTTCAAAAGGTCCTGTGCTACCTCTACATTCCGAGTGTTTTCAACAGTTATGCAACAAAAGTGTTAAGGGAATAAAGCATGGGGAAATGTGCATGTACTGAAGATATGTTCGTTTTTCACCCTGACATACACTTTAACCCCTTTGTGACGGGAGACGTACACTGTACGTCCCACCACAAAGTGCCCAAATGACTGGCCACGTATACTGTACTTGACCAGTTATTTGCAGCTCTGCAATGCTGGTAACCGTTGAGAATCAGCGGTTACCATTCATTAATGGATATCTCCATATAGAGGCATCCATTAATGAAAGAGTTAAGCTTTTCCAGACACCCGATCCCTTTCAGGAATCGGGTGTCTGAGAGTGAGCCGCATTTGCAGCTCTTGTGTAAAAAAAAAAAAGTGTAAAAAAATAAATGTAACAAATAAGATGATATATGTAACTACATTTTTATACTATCATTTATATAAAAATTAACCCCTTACAATGAAAATCTGCAGATTTGTTTTTCACCCTAAGCGATTTTTTTTGAACCCCCTCATGACAGTGATGTTCAAAGTATGTCGCTGTCACTAAGGGTGACACTTAGTGACATTGTATGCCAGGTGACCACTTTCAGCTTTAGCTTTTAGAGAAAAAAAAATTAAAATGTTAGGTTTTAGTTTTAGGCCGAGTAGTACAGACAAATTGCTAAAATCCTAGAGATGAGTTTTTTCCAAATAAAGGACAAATAAATGAACGTATTTATTGCATTTTTTTTAGCTGTGCGGTTTTTGTAAAAAAATACTACAATCAAAACTGGGGAAAAAGTGTTTTCTTTAAGTTTTTCCTCTTATTTTATATTTTATTTGTCCTAAGTGAGGCATTAGGTACACATATGTGATATAAATATATAGCCCTATCTGTCCTCTAAAAAACAATATATAATATGTGTGGGTGCACTTAGTAAGAAAGTATATTACTGACGTGGAAGAATCACACAGCAAAAATTTCAGAAGTGTGGTCATTTACAAACAGAAACTAAAAACAAGCTCAGTCGTGAAGGGGTTAATTGGCTCTTATGGATGAAAGACTGGAATCGTAGCAAATATTGTTATAAAATGATATTTCATGTGTGCGGCATTTGAGAATGAACAGGAACATCATCCCTCATATACTTCCAATACAAAGGCCACCAGTACTTGTACAGTATTGTAACTGCTTTAATGAGGTGCAAACATGTTCTAACAAAGAGATGTGCAGAGTCATATTTAACTATTATTTTTAATTCAGGGTGCAGTCAACGTTCACGCTGCACAAAAGTACAAAATTTCGGTCAGAAATCCATGCTCTCAAAAAGACAAGACCTACTGGGAAGAAAGGGAAGCTCCCCTAGAAGACCCCAGTTCTCAGTACCAGGACTGGAAAGGCAAGGCCTACTGGCAAGAAGAGGAAGTTCCCCTGGAGGACGCCAATTCTCAGCATCGGGACTGGAATGGCAAGGGATACTCGGAAGAAAGGGAAACTTCTTTAGAGGACCAGAAATCTCAGCACCAGGACTGGAAAGACATCTATAAATATGGACTCACAATTCCAATCCTTTTACTAATGATCTACTTGGCAATAAATGGCTTGAAATAAACACACTTGTCCTCCTTATCCGGCAGAATGGGGATGCCAGCTTCAGAATGTTTTGTTAAGCAGCTTCAGAGTGATGGGCTACAAAACAAGAATATTTCATTATTTTACCAGGAATGTGGAATCAACTTATTTTTTTCTTTTGAAAGTCATCTTGATTGTATACTGTAGCAATGTGCAAAGAGCATTAAAAGGAACACATATAACCATTGTCGTTCTTATATACTTAAATGATTAGCTTGATGTATAAAATCTGATCAGTGTACTTTATATGTAAAACCAATGACTATAATCTCACTGATTGTAACATGTCAATGTCCTTTCAAAAGTCATTTTCAATATATATGAATCTGCAGCTTTTATTAAACATAACTGATCCTGCCATTAAAGGTCCTTGTTCAGACTCTTTCTGTTATAGGGCGAGGGTATACGGTCAGCAAAGTGAGGAGAAATCTAAAATAGGAACACAGGCAGTAATAAAACAAAAACTCATTTGGCGGAATTTATCAAAACTGGAGCAGACTAAATCTGGAGCAGTTGCCCATGGCAACCAATCAGCTTCTCTCTTCAGTTTAGATTTGAAAATAAAAGAGAAGCTGATTGGTTGCCATGTACAGCTGCTCCAGATTTTAATAAATCCCCTTCATTGGGTTCTAGCCTTCCTCTGCTTTACTAGAAAAATTGTATAAAATTGCTGTTTTTGCTCCTATTCGAGATTTCCCCTTGCTTCATGTCCCAGTAACAACAGTCACCAGACCAAAAGAAAGGACAAATCTCCCCCAATAAGGTCTCGGAGAGCAGTAAAAACCTGGCACAGTTTATAACCCTTGTCTATTTCAGCCAAAACAACAACAAATGTTTTGGTTGGAGGTGCATTATAAAAAGACATTTTAAATTGGGATGAATTTCAGCATGAAAGGGAGCCGATCAGATTTCTGCACAAACCAATTTGCCAGTTTTCTGCAATAGAAGAGGTAGTAAAGTCAACTCTCGCGTAACCTGTGTTGCCTACCTTACCGTCCCTACCAGTAATTTGGCCTCCATTATACAACATTTCCGGTAGGGATATGGCTCAATATACACTCGTATCCCTAAGTATAATATGCAGGCACATTTTATTTTCATGGTTTTTCTCAACTAAACAATTTCAGTTTTTTTTTTCTATTAAAGATTATAGGTCAGAGTAAGGTGAAAATAATTCTGAAGTGATTTATCTCTTTTTTTCTGAAAAAGTTGGCATGTTTACAGGCCTGTAGTATATATGTTTTATAGAATAAGCATATCTCTCAGAGTTTTTTGTTTCCACAGGAATGGTTATTACTTTGGCCATTTTTCATTTTTTTTTGCATGAGGGGAAGGCAGGAGAAGCAGCTCATTATCAGGAATAAACTTACCTTGCTGCAGTAAGGACATTCTCCATATATAATATTAAAGCTTTGTCTGCTTGACGGCAATGAGTTTAACCACTGAGGAGACAAAAAAGTGAGTGTCAATTCCTAGTGGATTTATCACAAATATTGTTCACATAATCTAGTAAGTAAAGAATAAATGTGCACCAAATAAAATAGCCTCAACCTGTCATTTCAAGGCGTTTTACTGTGTATTGCATATCCAAACACTTCAATGTGCGGCCACATGCGTACCTATTGATTTCAATGAAACACACATCAGGATGTATCCTGGTGACGTTTGATCTATTCCATGTGCTTCAGGTAGATCTCTACCTCTCAAAGGTTGCCATATTGATTCTTATGATTCTTATTGACAAAGGTTGCTCTAACAGCTCTCTGGCAGCTTCCAGTGTTCCTCCTCAAGGACCTGGCCCTGACAGCCTGGATCATTGTCTCTTCCCTGAGTCCACATGCTTCTAGGAGTCTTCTCTAGCTCCCTCAGGTCTGGCTCCCTCCTCTGTACTATTCAGGGAGGAGTTTACTATGGCCAGGCTAGATTTAATGAACAAGATCATGGCCATGATAGCCAATTTAGAACCTAGGGGCGGTAAGTATACTTCTTTGCCTTCTCCTTCAGGGTTCGTCTCTTACGTTCCTTGAACTACAGTAGCCACTGCACATTCAGCTGAGGATGATGAGGAGTCTCGCAAGTCCTTTTTGAATGTGTATTTGGCTTAGGAGACTTTTTGTCTGCTTATAAGCTTATACAGGTGAAACTCGAATAATTAGAATATTGTGCAAAGTTCATTTATTTCACTAATGCAACTTAAAAGGTGAAACTAATATATGAGATAGACTCATTACATGCAAAGCAAGATAGTTCAAGCCGTGATTTGTCATAATTGTGATGATTATGGCTTACAGCTCATGAAAACCCCAAGAACCCCAAATCCACAACCTCAAAAAAGTAGATTATTACATGCAATCAATAAAACAAGGATTGTACATAGAACAATATCGGACCTCTGAAAAGTACAAGCATGCATATGTACTCAGTACTTGGTTTGGGCCCCTTTTGCAGCACTTACTGCAATTACTTTTGCACGATATTCTAATTATTCGAGTTTCACCTGTATATACCAAATTGATTGATTTGACTGCTTTCTAAAAACATTTCTGCTAAATAAAATAACCATGACCCATTTTAACAGGAAGTGAGTGGAAATACCATGAACCTTTAAAGATTGCTTTAAACCCCTCCACACTCCACCCAGAACAAAATAAATATTTTGGCGGGAGCTGGGCTTTAGGCTGTAACCCAACGGACTCTTCATGATAAGTACATTAAGGGTACAATAAAAAAAAGTACTTACAATCTTACTGTTGGTGTGTAAAGCAACTCCCATGATGGCAAATCATTCTATCCCCTGCACGGGTTTGCAGATAAAGAGCCCTGCAGGAAACCCGTGGTCTCTCCGCAGCAGGCGGTCCAACAAACCCCCCCCCACCATTAAGTCAGAGCTACGGCTATATAAACGGCAAAACCCACACAGTAAGCAGTGGAGTTATCAGACCGCTGCCGAGACTGCTGCTTTTACAAAGAGATGTGAACCTTCAGAATTTCGATTTTATTAGAAATCCTCGTGAAGGCACTGTACTCATGGAACCCTGTTGGGCATTCATCACCCTTCCCAAGTTCTCCCTTCTTATGAACAGTGGCCACAATATGGGGATCATTCTGACACTGCTACTCATTTTTAACACGACGCTCTGCTGAGTGGGTCTACCCACATAAGGGCTAGTTCACACCAGCCCCAGTGTGTTCCGGCCCAATTGGTGCCGGAACGCACTGGATCGCATTCAGGCTGGCTCACTTTGTTTTGGGGTGGGCATCTATTTATTTACTTAATGAAAGAATCGAATTTTAAAAATGGGTTGAGTTTGGTATCACAAGCAACACGCTGGCCAAGAAGCTAAGGAGAGAAAACATGAAAGCTGATCACCAGGCAAATACAAAAGACATAATGTCATGGAATTGTGCTATGTATTACTAATACAGACTTTTTTTCAAATGCAAGCAGTGTAAATAACAAAACTTGACTTGGTGACAGCCTCTAGCTATCCCTGTAGAGCAGTGTTCAGACAGAGAGGGAAGGGCAGAACAAGGAGCCAATCAGTTGAACTGCAGTACTCATGTGCTAATAAGAAACATGCTGACAGGTACAGAGATAAGTAGACTGACAGCTCATTAGTTTTCTGCTGCTTTTTTCACTGTCCACTCACAGGCTGGGGAAGGAACAAGCCCTGTAAGTCTTACTTAACTGCAGCAGAGAAACCGCAAGGTCTTCATCGCTGGAAACAGCCATGTTACGTGGGAGGACTGTGTCATTTTTAGAACTGGATGGAAAAAATAAACATTCTTTGGCAGGTAAAACAGCTCAGCTTTAAATTGTATTTCCACTTTTGCAGTCAAATGTGAGAAAACTCCTCTGAATGTTTGTTATGTTCCCATTCACACAGCATACTTTAAAATATTTATAAATATATTTCTTACCATTTAGATATTTCTTTGGCGAAGGCCTGTGTGCAGATTCCAAGCTACTCTGAGCAGATTGCAAGTGAAACTAAATAGTCAGACTGAGCTTCCTGTCATTAACATACAATGTCTCCAAGTTTTTAACCCTTTGTTAGGACAGACAGTGTTCAAATCTAGTTTACAACTGATAATGAGATCTGCCAGCACAGTACAGACAGAGCTAGTTAAAGGAGAACTATGGGGTCAGGGCTTTTCCCCATAGTTCTCCTAAGGGTAACGGGAGGACACAAACTAGCGTTCTCCCATTACCCAAAGCTCAGTATATTGCGAGCTACAGCTTGCGGTATACTGAGACGCCGCAGCCAGGACGGATCCCGACATTACTGTCTGGATCCACCCAGCTGCGTGACAGCTGGCTCTGCCTGTCTACAGACAGAGCCAGCTGTAACCGCCCCCTCCCCCGTCCGTTCCGCCAGTCAGTGCTGGAGGATCGGACAGGGGAGGGAGGGTCCCTGCAGGGAGCCGTGAGTGACACTCGCGGCTCTCCGCAGGGAGATGATTGAGAAGTGAGCGAGCGACAGTATGCGTTCGCTCAGTTCCCGATCTATTGAGCTGACCTGTGACATTGTCACAGGTCGGCTAGAACAATGAGGCTGAGTGATTTTCACTCGCCTCATAGTTCTCCTTTAAGGTAAACATAACTTTCTACAGCCCCTCCTTAACATTACAGGAGTTTTAATCAAGTAAAAAGCAGTATTTTCTTTTTTATTATGCATAAGTTATGCAATGCGAATGAAAACAGATAACAAACAAAACGCAGGTGTTATCTCAATTTTGTTGCAAAAGTGGAACTACACTTTAAGGCTGACACTGCCGATAGTCTTCTGAAAATACTTGCTACAGTCCTGACCCCTGACTTGCATATTGAATAAGTGATCTAGAAAAAAAAATTCAGCTCTGAAATCAAAGTAAAGTTAGAAACCTCGATCTGCAAATGTTCTAGGCCAGTGTCTCAAAGTACTGAAGCCACTAGATCAGTATGATACCTGGCATTCCACATGTCCACGTGTCCTACATAGTGCTAATACAATTATGTCCTCTATCAGCTCCTTCCTTCCCTAGAACATGCAGGTCATGCGGGCTAAACAATACTGTGATATACAAATGTTCACTTTCTGATAAAAGAGAATCATGGGGAGAGTGAAATACACAGTAATTACTGCACCTGTCACATGTCAGCTCTATAGATCAAGAACTGAGAGATCACATGCCGCTGATCGCTCAGTTCCCGATCTCCCTGCAGAGAGCAGTGACTGTCAATCAATGCATGGAGTCCCCCTCCCCTCTCCAGCATTGACTGGAGAGATGGACAGGGGAGGGGGCGGGCACAGCTTCCTCTGCCCACTATATGCTGAGTTTTGGGTCACAGGAGGACATAGTAAATGCCTTCCTGTGACCCTAAAGAGAACTATAGCCACAAAAGGTTGGACCATAGTTCCCTTTTAAAGCCAACAGCAAAGCCCTTAGCTCCATCCCTAACCACTACTCCTCATCCCTGATTTTCTAGAAAGCAGTGACACATGACTGCCACAGGAAGGACGGGGGTTTCTTTGACGTGCAGGCTGTAATTGACAGCCTAGCTTTACCTTTTATTTTGGTAAAATATATTTATGGTATACATCAAGGTTTTTTTTAAAATTTTGATTTAAGTGATGCGTGACATTCTGGGGTTAATGTTGTGTTAAGATTTCATTTTAAATGTTAGGTTAAAGATACCTAAGCTTTGCCCAAGTAGGGTAATGCAAAAGGTATGCTTTACAACGGGCCCCTGCTAAGAGCTTCTTCACTTTGATCCTGATGCTAGGGAAGCAAAGGGAAGGTAAGTATAAGCCAATCCTAGTCAGAGCTGACACACTGGGGTTGATTTACTAAGCTTATAAACACACCACGAACGTGTATACACCTCTGCAGTGTGTTCCCTCCCAGCATGATCTATGGGTGGAATCTAAACACCTTTGTAATGTGTACACACCCAGCAGGTGTGTTGTGCAAAGCCCTGAAGGAATTCCAAGGTAATGTGGTATAAATTAGCTCTATGTTGTGTTGCTTGCGTTGATGAATGCAAGGAATGTAAATGCATGAGCTAACCATTTTTGTCTAAACTGTGAAGCAGCATTATATATGCATCATGTGCATGATTTTTCCATATATGGCATTAGTGGAAATATGCTTTGAGAGACTTTTTGGTTGATAAATACGTTTTGCTGTGTGAAAATCACACACACCTGGTGTGTGTGTGTGTTTAGGTTAGTAAATCACCCCCACTGACTCTCTTTGGACTCTCTTACCACCACCATATGACAGCACTGGTGCATGAGTGGCCAATAACCAGCACTGTCACATGGAAGGACAGAGGAGTGATTCATATCCTTCCCCCATTACCAGAAGTACAGAGTATGTTCCTACTCTTCTCCAGGCAAAAGGAGGCTGGTCAGTGAAGGTAAGGCAAGTATAAGCAACTATGTGAGGAGGGGAGAGG